CCTATTGTTTATTATAATAATAGTTCTTTTTTTGTTTTTATTGTTCACATAAGGTAGTTTATTAAGTGAGATAATGCATGAAAAGTGTTTAGCTGGACGACTGGCACAGAATAAATACTTGATGAATCATATCAACAACAATAAAATGATAGCAGCCTCTATCAACAGTCGGGATGATGATAGTGGTGATGACAGAGATGAAAAGTGAAGAATCTTAGTTTTGTAGAGCAGGAGGGTCCGAAAGCATTTATTTGGATTAACTATTCATCTGTAAAGATGAGGAAAATGAGACCCAGAGAGAAAAGGTGTTTTTCTCAAAGACGATCTCTAAATTTGGTAGTCAAACTAGAACTCCGGTGTTCTGACTCCAGGCCTAAGGATCTGAATTTTACACAATGCATGCTTTTCTTAGACTGAAGTCACTACTTTCTAGTTTAGTGATAAGTACTTGAGGGGAGTCATTAAGGAGTTATATGTCATTATAGCATGTAATAATATGCTTTGTGATAGAGATTAGCACAGTAGTAGAAATTATTTTTTAATTGGTTAGTTTCATCTTGTTTAGAGAAAAAAACAACAATAATAAATAGTGAAAAAATATTGTTACTTTTCATTGGGTGTTTGCTCTGCCAGGTGTAGTGCAAAACATTTATGTGTGTTCCCCTTTCCTATCCCCACACAACCTAACTAGTTAGGCTCTTTAGGATCCCCGCTTTATTATGAGGCAACAGCCTCTAGATCTCCAGCTTAGGATGTTTTTCAAGTATTCTGGACTTTGTTTCACTCTACAGTGGTGGTTCTGAACCAGGGTAATTTGTTTCTCAGAAAACATTGGCAATGTCTGGAGACAATTTTAGTTGTCACAACTTGGCAGGGGTGGGAGCATGTGTATTAGTCCATTTCTGTTGCTTATAAAAAATACCTGGAAGTGGGTACTTTGTAAGAAACCAATATTTATTGCTTACAGTTTTGGAGGGTAGAAATTCCAAAGTCCAGAGAACACACCTGGTGAGGGTCTTCTTTGGCGGAGGTTTTACAGCAATGTTGGGGTCCCACATGGCAGAAAATGGTAGAGCAGAGAGAGAGAGAGAGAGAGAGAGAGTTCCTCATGCACTCTCCTTTTAAAGCCCTCAGAACCATGCCCCTGNTTGGCAGGGGTGGGAGCATGTGTATTAGTCCATTTCTGTTGCTTATAAAAAATACCTGGAACTGGGTACTTTGTAAGAAACCAATATTTATTGCTTACAGTTTTGGAGGGTAGAAAGTCCAAAGTCCAGAGAACACACCTGGTGAGGGTCTTCTTTGGCGGAGGTCTTACAGCAATGTTGGGGTCCCACATGGCAGAAAATGGTAGAGCAGAGAGAGAGAGAGAGTTCCTCATGCACTCTCCTTTTAAAGCCCTCAGAACCATGCCCCTGACCACCATTATTAATACATTCACTATGGCATAGTCCTACAATCTAATCACCTCTTCAAGGCCCAACCTTTCAATTATGCTAATAGGATTTCCCAACCTCAACCTTTACAGTGGGTATTTAAGCTTCAATGAGGTTGGGGGTGTGGGTATCCAGTCTACAGCAGCAGGGTGGAGGGATTGCTACTGGCATCTACTGAGTAGAGGCCAGGGATGCTCCTAAACATCCTGCCATACACGGGACAGCCCTCCACAGCAAAGAATTAGCTGGCTCAAAATCATGACAAACTGCTCTATAGACATGGAAACTGAATGACTATATCAGAACTAAGATCTTTTGCCAAAATTCATTTGGACACGTCTACTTTTTCATAAAAATATCAAACTGATCTACAGAAGACAGGCGAGGCAGTAGCCTCCACAGCAAAGTTTGTGCATCTTTCAGGACTGCTCAAAGCCTTAGTGGCTTTGCCTCATATTGTCAATGAAGAAAAGAATGAGATATACAAGTACTCGGCAATATAATCTTACTGTATTATAAACATTCTGTTTTATCTTTTTCTTTAAAATAGGAATATACAATTGACATATTTTTTGCCCAAACATGGTATGACAGACGCTTGAAATTTAACAGCACCATTAAAGTCCTCCGACTGAATAGCAACATGGTGGGGAAAATCTGGATTCCAGATACTTTCTTCAGAAACTCCAAAAAGGCTGATGCACACTGGATAACCACTCCCAATAGGATGCTGAGAATCTGGAATGATGGTCGGGTGCTCTACACTCTAAGGTATGCTGTTAGAAAAGGAAAAGAGTAATTGCTGGAAATAAAACAAAATCAACCATTCCTTAAAAGAAATGAAAGAAAAAAATTTCAAGCCTACATTATGGTTGACATGTTTGGTCAAATAGTATTTGATACTACAAAATTAGTTTTTTTTTTCTTTCTGTTACCAATGACTTTTTTCAAAGCACTAATCATAAATAGAACTTATTTATTATTTTATGACTGGTGATAACTCTGTTTTCTCACAAGTGTCACTTCTCTTGCCTTTGTAAGACCATCCAACTTTACCACTAATCTTGGCTTCTGTGTGTGTGTCTTGCTACTTTAGAACATGGAAAGTAAAACACAGTCAGTCGTCTTTGAGACCACCAGCTCTTACGCTTGGAAATGTCTCTGATTCCAAAGAAATCATTGATAAAGGGGAATTTTTGATATCGAAATCTTCATGCATGCTTCTATTTTTAGCTGCACAATGGCAAGCACCTAAGAATCTATAATCTTCCATCTCCTGGCTCCCCTCTCTTTAATACATGTATAGGCTGTTCGATTTAACTTATTGTCTAGTTGGGGAATAGATATATTTTCGGGAAAGTTGAAGGAGATTTTTTTCATCTTCAAAACTTAAATATTAGGAAACAGTATCATATGCCATTATCTTAGCACTTCATACTTACATGCATTGAAAATATATTTACATTGAAGTTTCTCATTGTTGAGAGTAAATTATTAGACAGCATAATTTATACGTACATAGACTCAGGAATCAGACAGATCTGGCTTTGGTTTTCAGTTCTCTATGTTGCTATCTGTATGATCTAGGGCAACTCTTCACAATTTCTTAATACAGGGACTTAGGGGCAGCTCTCTGGTATCAGGGGTCTTGGTGCTAGAAGATTTTGGTGCTGAAAGTTTTGTTTGCATAGTATGATGTTTTTACTAGGCTACATTTTTATTTAGAAGAATTAAGTGAGAACTAATGAAAATTATGAGGAAAGAAGGCATCTCCTCCCCCCATCCCTCCTCCCTCACCCCTCAGCACCACAACTGAGAAAAATCTTTGACCTTTTATTTCTTTAATTTCTATAAAATAGACATAATGATTCTGACCTTATAGAGTTGCTACAAAGACAAAATGGAATGATATATAAAGTGCTTAACATGAGCCTGATACATACTAAGCACAGCAGATATTGAAATTATTTGTATGTATTTTAAGTAAAAAAATATGAGTGATTCTTCTAGATCTTAGTATTCTCGAACATCTAGCTTCACAATGACTTATGTTAAATGTACTTGTTGCTTAACATGAGCCTGATACATACTAAGCACAGCAGATATTGAAATTATTTGTATGTATTTTCAGTAAAAAAATATGAGTGATTCTTCTAGATCTTAGTATTCTCGAACATCTAGCTTCACAATGACTTATGTTAAATGTACTTGCGGCATATGTGTTGTGCCATATATAATATTCAACATACAGAGAATAAGACTTTAAAATGGCTCCAAAACCTTTGTCAGAGTTATATCAGTTACTAGGAAAAAAGGTTAGAATTACAAAAGAAATTCATTGCATGTATTTTTTATTCTTCGTGGGTTTCGTAAAATTAGAGATAAGGTAATGACTGAAATTAAAATCCAGTGGAAATTAAAGTCTGTTTGATAAAACAGAGCTTGGCCTAGCTTTTGAAATATGAAGTCAATCACTCTATTCCAAGTCCCTTTATTGTTCTCATAACATTGTAGTCATTTTTTGATTTCTATTAATTTGCTGAATCACTATGACATTTAATTATGGGAGCCATATCAAAAATGTCACTCATGATATTCTATCATAGTTTGAATGGTTACCAATCTATATGTAGAGATAATTTTATTCTGGTTGCTTATCTATAATGAGCTATGAGGGAGTGTGTGTGTGGGTATCTGTGCATGTACGCATAAATGTATATGTGTGTATCTATGTATCTGCAATCTACATTATTTTCAATTTTAATAATTCCAGTTTAATTTGGAGAAATAATTCTAATAAGATATCAAATTTAATTATAATTTCATTTATGAATATAACTAATCTTTTCTTTGAAGAGCAATGTAATTATTGAATAACAATGTAAAACCTCCAGCTTTGGAGACAGATAAACCTAGGTTCAAATCTCAGCTGTGCCACTAGTTATGTGACTTTGTACAAGTTCAAGTATAATTAACCCATAATAACACCTACTAAATAAGAAAACAATTCACTTTGCCCAGTATCTCATAGACAATTAAGGGCTTAATTATCATGAGATATATTTCAAGATCAGTAATTGCTCTATTATATCACGGAATAATAAGTCATGCCAACTAAAAATCTTTTAAAGTAAATTTGTATAAAATAACACTTTTGTTAATTCAACACTGACATATGTATATTATAACAAATATAGCTAAAAAATATGAAATTTAAAAAATCATCAACCCATTTCC